TGCAAGGTGATTCCTGAAGCTTTTTGAGCGCAGCAAGCAGCTATTCGGTGAAGCGAGCTAGCATCATGATGGCGGCTGGTGCATTGCCATTGCTGGTTTTGCTTGGGCTTGGCCAGTTGGTTGTTGCAGACATTTGCCCGGATGATATTGACTCGGACCTGTGCTATGATTCTGACGAGTACTCTTCTGGCCAGCGCATGGCTCCCAACTTCAATGTGTTGATTGCAGTCCTCGCCTTTGCGCTTCCCCGATCATACCTGAAGCAGGCAGCTTTGACAGCAGCGGCCTTATTCAGCCTGCCGGGAGCTGCAGCAGTCACATGTGGCGACTTGAAGACCTTCTACAAGGGCCAGCAGTGCTGTGGATCATCCAGCAAAGAGTTGACTGCCACCGTGCCCGGCTGCCCTTACAACTTCAACCCACCAGCTTGCAACATGGCGGAGCCCCAGACGCCTCGAGATTTGAGCACTGGAGCACAAGGTCAGATGACACCCAAAGCAGCGACGCTCACTGATGCGCAAGCCAATTTCCTACCGTTGGTGAACGTGCACTTCCACTATGGCGCTGAGCACAAGAGTGATAGCTACCAGAACGGAACAGACTCAGAAGCTTATGATGCATCTTCGGGCCGTCGTCTTGCCAGCAATCCTCGCCCTGGCTGGATGTGTGCAACCGACACTTTGTCATCTTCCCAGATGACTCCCTACACTTTCCAGTACTGCAAGGGTGATGTGCAGGTTGGCAAGTCATATGAGGTCCACTATGTGCACTCTTCTGCTGGTGTGGACTCGGATATGACTGATGGCATCAATGCTGACGATTTGGCGGATGGCTTGGGAGGCATGCAACAGAAGTGTCACAGATAGAGGAAGACTGGTGGAATGATCAGGTTGTTTCATGAGGGAAAGATCATGTCAGAGTGTTTTATAGGACATCGATACTGGAAGTAGACGGCCACTTAATGTATAAATGGTGCAGGCAGTATGCAGATGTATGCAGTATATTGCAGTATGATTTCCTTCGATGTCAATCATTCAATCTGTTAGGTGCTGCCAATGGCCGTGGCATTCTGAACCCCATGGTAGTGGTGCAGGGCCAGGTCTATCAGATTGTGTCGGGTGGCCCTACTGTTGATGACTTGCTGCACGGGTGGACCGTCGTGGGTCATGAGAACTCGGTGATGTATCCTGGTTCAACCACAGGGCAGTCCTGGGACAATTCCGTGTGCTCTCCTTATGCCATTACCTGGCATGTTGACAAGGAGTGTCATCAGGTCTCGCCCGAGTCCTTTGACAATCTCTGCAAAGTGATGAAAGAGACCTACAACATGGAGGCTGACTTGTATCCTCACGGTTCCCGCAAGCTTGTGGATTCCAAGTTTGTGGTGACAGCAGAGTATGTGAAGCCCTTGGCTTAAGACCTGACATGGAGTGCAGGTCTGAAGCATCCAGTATAGATGATTTTTTAGCCTGAATTCTGTTTTTGCGCTAGTTTTCACAGAGTTCATGGGCCCTGCGTTCCCTTTTTCGATTTTCTAAAAGCCTTAGAGTTTCTAAGTTCTGCCGGCCTAGTCAGGTCGGAGTTGGCATAAATCTATTTTCCGACAAACTGTTTTCTAAATAGCTTTACTCGACAAGGTGTGGCTAAGCCGCAACTGCGCAAGGGGAGAGTTGTACTCTCTATGCACTCTCTGCTTGCTGTCGATAGTTGATGATAGAGTGAACATGGATTGCAAAAGTTTCAGCAACAACGCCTTTTGCAGTGAATGCTTGGTTGTACTAGTACCACTACTACACGAATAAGCTTACGGGTACACCTCGCCTTTGGCATCAGGGTGTGCCCAAATGCAATTTCACAGCGTGGGTTTGCAGGTTCCAGTACTTCGTATGCTTGGGGTGCGAGATGCTGTAGAGCTTCCGCAAGAATCGGGGCATGAGACTGGCAATTCTCGCGCCCTGTGCTCAGAGTTGCTGTCGACAAGCGAGCGATTCATCGACAAGCCCAGCTCTTGAAATTGCACCGACTTTCACTGCGTGCAGCTTTGTGAGATCCAATTCCCAAAACAGAAGATGTAAGATATGTAAGGTCGCAGATGAAGCAATGGCATGGCTTTTTGTGAAGCCGCCTTTTTGCTTCTTCAGCCACGTACGAACTCAGAACGGCTCGAGCCGCCGCCAGGAACATGGCTGCGAGAGCTTTTCAGATGTCACGGTTCGATGTGATGGGGGAAGCCTTTTCCTTCATCGCAACATTCTGATGTCCCGGAGTGAATACTTCAAAGCGATGTTTCAGGCCGAGACAAGCGAAGCGGACGTACGTGGCGATGTTTCACGTGGGAGACGTATGGAGACACGGGAGACACGAAAGACACGTCGTGAGACAGGTGGCAGAAAGAATCAGACGTGTGGGACGTGTGTTTGAAAGAGACCGACACATTGGCAGAAACATGAAATTCCATGTAGACGTACGCAGTGTTTCCGTGCGAGGGATTTTCTCGGATTTCTGGAAGTGTTCAGCCGTATGGCTGGTTGAAGTATATAATTATGTTGAAGTGTGAGCTGGTTGAAGCGTAAAAAATTGTCTGGTCCTGGCGAGCCAGGGTGGCAGTGGATTTCTGGAAAGCCAGAATGCTTCTGCGGAGGCGTTTTTTTTAGCGCAGCCCATCGAAGTCCCGATCCGTCGGGAGGGAGGGTCGGCCTTTGAAAAGGTGTTCACGTCTTTCCATGGGCCCAGTGAGAAGCCACGAACGAAACAACTAGTACCAGCATCTACACATCATGGCCCATATCCCCCATCAACTAGGGATCATTAGGGTGTACATCCTGGACGAAGAAATAGTCAACCTGTTGGTAGTTGTCGTCCTTTGGCACTTCTCATGTCTTTCATTGTCCGTCATGCGCATTCGCCGTCCGGTGGACCGAACCGCGGAATGTCTAACTCCGCCAGGTCTCCTTGTTGGAGTTTCCGCTTGAAGTGGCTCAAATTCTCTTCGGTCTTTCCAGCCAGATTGGGATTTTTCAATGTGTCTGAAGCAGAGGTTTGATGCAGTCTGATTTTGACGCCCCTCCATGCCTCCCCTTGACAGGCTTCTTGTACCATGGCAAAGTTGACGAGAGGCCACTGGAAGGTCCAGAAGCAACGTTGGCAGCTCAGCAGTGTCAAGCGAGAGGACATTTTCACACCAATTCTAGAAGGACACGACATGACCCCACATGTCCCCACATGGCCCAGATTTGCATGGTCTCATCGTACTCAGAGCAGTCAAGGACCGCTGGTCGTCGCTCTGCTGGCTCAAGCGCTTAAGCTGGTAGCTGGTAGCTATGGCGCGAGGGTTAAAAGGCCTGTCGTGGGGCACCCTGGCTTTGCACCAAGCTTCAGCCAGGAAGTGTGACAATGACTCAACATGTAGGTTTTTTGCGCCAGAAACTTGACTTGCGTGATTCAACTTCAATTCTGTGTCTCCTTTTGAGGTTGCCGAATGAAGAAAGGAGTGGGAGTTTTGATTCCAATCGTGGCAGGGGCCGCAGTTCAAATCGTGGCGCGATGACATGGGTTGCTGCGTTGGCAGTGAGGCAGCAGTGGTTTTCTTACTGCAGAGCGAAGGCAGACTGAAGACGTCAGTTCCTGGAGGTGCCAACACAGTCCCGTCAGTGTTTTCTCCCAACCAATCTGCTGGACTTCGAGGAAAGGGCAGCTCTGCTACAGAGAAGAATCTTTGGCTGGCAACATCTGTTGGTGGCTTTGAGGCTCAAAACCGGATTTTTGAGTGTTCTCCACCGGCAACCGTGCCGCCACACGGCCAGTGCAGGTGTGTCTGGTGATTTGCCTTCACCTTTTGAAGCGTCAGCGTGAGCAGACCTGGCAGGCGACGTGAGGACCTAGCCAACTTCAGACCGGCTTGACCGAGGGTTGACGGAGAAAATTAACTTTTGAAGATTCTGCACCATCCCAGCTTGACAGAAGATTGTCACCGCGGAAATGTCAAATGGAGTTCAAGGGGATTCCCACAATTCCAAGGTTGTGCAGAATTTGCTCTGCAGAGCCAAATTTTGAACACCATTTGGGGACCTGGTACAAAAAGGAATTGTAGCGAATTCACCTTGAGACCTTGAGTGGCTGCTCTGATACCCTGCAGGGAGCCAATATTGAAGCTCTGATACCATGTTTGGCCATCGGAGCCTGGCTGAGTGACGACGGCCACAGAGCGCAGAAGGGACACTGCAGCGTCCGGGTCGTTTCTCGCTTCTCAGGATGGATCATTCGATTTCTTTGTCCAATTCCTGCAGGTGTCTCTGACCAGGCCTGGCCTTACTAGGAACAAGGACGCTACGAACAGGGCTCCTGGCCTAGAGTGTTTCCCCAACCCTCGTTTGTGCTCCTTTCAGACGTCTGTTTCCCTGGTTTTTCAGACCTCACGACGCCGACTCCGGGAGGCTTGCTCCATGATCGTGGCGGTAGTGGAAGACTTACTGAAACAGATGAGAATCGTTCTAAGGTCACTATTGTATATGTCTCATCGTGTATGTCAGAGCAACGGATTCATCTTTAACAGTGACCTGACAAACGCGGCACGGCACGTCTGACTGGTGCTGAGCAAGGGAATGAGTCCGGCAGGGAGGGAACGGATTTGATCAGGACCCTCTAGTGGAGTCTTCATTCCCTCATTCAGTTGATTTCCCTTGATTTCGCACCAGTAATAAAGTGTCAGATAGATACATAAAACTATAGAATTATATAATTAGAAATTAGAGACATCAGTTTTGCAGAAAATGGGTAATCTCTTGTTCTTGTTCTTGTTCTTGTTGTTGTTGTTGTTGTTGTTGTTGTTGCTTTTTGACCATCCCATCAGATGTCTTGACCGGCGGGATTTTTGTCGAGGTCTTGCGACCTTTGCCTCCAGCGGCGGCCACCGTGGTGGCCATGTCGGTGGTGGTCTTCACGGGGACCGCGACCCTGGCACAGGGACTGAAAGCATTCACCGACGAGGCGAGTGGCGTTCAGAACATGTTTGGCTTTCTTTCAAAAGCAGGTCTCTTCCTTCGGCCCAGAGAGAACACCTGGTCTTCCTGGAAATGGTTTGGGGAAGAAGAGCAGGTTGTTTGGCTTGTGGTGATCGCCTTTTTTCTCGCGGATGGCTTTCAGAAGCCGCTGGGCGACACTGGACGGACGCGAAACACCGGGGGCACCGGGGAACGGCACCGGAGAACGCGCCGATCGTGGCCAAGGACAGGTCTTGGGGACCGAATCGCCTTGAACGTGATCCGGGCTGTGGGGGGCACCACGTGGGAAGCCTCAGGGACGCACTTGACGGAACTAGTGACATGAAGACGATGACTAAACACGGGGACATGGTCGGACATGGCAGGACTGATGGATCTTGAAAACTCATTCACTTAGTTTGCAGGATTGGGAGTTAGATGCTTGCATGCCATTCCAACGTGGTCTCAAAACATCTCAAAACCATGCCAACACCCAGCCACCCATCCACACACCCAGTTGTGCAATAGACCACCCACCCTTCAAACAGCTTTTCGGAAGAAACGGTGCTTGCCTGATGGGTCGTCGGAGTCCTCGCGTCGTTTCTAGGGTGGGCTTGGCGTATGGTCTGAACTTTGCAGAGCTCATGGTGGCAGCAACGATGCCTTGCTCGGCCGCACGTGCCTGGACGCCCAGCGAGCGGGCCATTTCTGGGGAGGGGCCAGGAGGCAAAGGCCAGGACTAGAGCTACGAGCGAAACTGGGCGAACCTGAAAACTTGTCCACTACGGTCATGAGGAGGTGACATGAAGGTGCTCAGAATGACTAAGGCACATGGAGTGACACGGGGTGCGCTTTTTGGAACACCCGTTTTTTGCGAGTTTCGAAGCTTGATCTTCAATTCTAGCTAGTCTTTCACAAATGAATCCTGTTTAGCTAGTGGTTTGCCGCAACTGATTGAGGCGGCAGCAGTGTTTTATCCGATCACCAAGTCTGAGCTGGCCTCAGTTGACAATGGCTTTACATCCACTTTTAATCAGGCTTTAAAGTAAAGAATGCCATACAATAGACTATTGTATTGGCCTTTACAACCACTTTACTGTTGACAATGGCTTTACTAAAGTAGTCTACGGCATGCTCTACTTGTTTGTCCAACAGTATTCGCTGGTGAGATTGGGCCCCCACAGAAACGAGATGACACTAGGTAAAGTAGTCTACACGAGATACTGTGATTTGCTACTAAAGCAGTCTGAACAAGATACTGTGACATGACCTCCTACTTAAGTAGTCTAAAAGAGATAGGGCCCCCACAATAGATCGTATACTTGAGCTTAGTACAAATATACAATGAATAAACGCCGCCGCTCTTATCACAATCACTCTGGCACAGTTGGCCGGATCAGTCAATTGGCTTCCTAAATTTCTCTAGCTCCAGAATCTAGCTCCAGGCGGCTGGACGTTCAGTTCCGGATTTCTTGAAAAGAGACGTGGAGAGACGTGGCTGGAAACGCCCCTGCTGGAAACCAATGAAACGCCCGTCGCCCTTGCCGTCCGCACCAGCTGGTCGGAGAATGCTCAGGTCTGTAAAGCCAGTGGCTCAGACCCTGACGAGGCGAACACCGCGGGCGGACGGAACGGAGCGCGCAAACACCGGTGAGTTCGGCCACGCGGCCACCGGCCAGGGAACCGAGTCCAAGTGCGGGAAATTCCCTGGTGGAGTGCTGCTATCAGGCGGGTCCAGGAATGGGTCGTATCTTCACCATTCTTGGTCGTGTCAGTGGTGATTTTGGGTGTTTAAAGGAAGCGAGCCGAAACGACCACCAGGCCACTGCGACATCGTCGTGCATGTTCCTCACTGGTGCAGCGCAGAACTATTTCGTGCTGAAACTCGCCGAGGATGTGGCCGAGCCCAGCATTTTGGGGTGAAGGACACTGAGTGAAGTGAGTGAAGACTCGGGTGGAATGAGGTTGGAGTTCATGTGGAACATCCTTTTCACAGTTGGTTTACTGCAGCTGTAATACCTGCCTGATCCCAAGACTTTCTGCATTCGCCTCATGGTGACGCAGCAGTTCACGTGTGGTGTTTTTCTTTATTTTTCCGCGCAGAATTCGTCCACACTGCAGAATTCCTTCTTGACGCTGGGAGGCTTCGGTCTCCTTCTTGCTGACCCCACTGATCGCTTTGAAGCTTCTGCCGCCCGACGCGCGGACCACGCCCGACGCACCCAAGGCCGAACACCCCCGGGGAACGGCGCGTTCGCGGCGGTGGCGGTGACGGTGACGGTGCGGCTCCGAGGTGGCGCAGCAGCGGCTGGATGCGATGGGCCCCATCTCCATCGATGAGAAGGTCTTTCTTTGTGTCATGCTAGGCGGGTCAAAACCGTGGCTAGTCTGGTGACTGAAGGAGGTGACATGTGACTAGCTAGCTTCATCGAACACAACGAACATCAACGAACCCAACAACAACGTGTCCTAGCTTCATTTCGGCATGATGTGAAGTGTGACTGACAGATGTTCCGAAGGAGGGTTTTTCCTGTTGCTTGACGATGCTTCGGTCCCGTTTTTTTTACTGTTGTCAGAACGACTCGCATTCGAGCAGGGATAGTTTTTGCAGTTGGTCAGGTATGGTAGCTCTGTGGGCTTCCACATCATTGATTCACATCTCGCCGGCGGTCACTGCATTCTGCGGCATTGGACTGCTGCTAATGACCGGTGTCATCACGTGGGAGGAAAGGCTTGCGAAATCAAGTGTTGCTGATACTGTACACAATTACACAGTTGCCTTGCATCCTGTGCCACCAAGATGATCCAATGTTTGATAACGACAAAGCTTCCGCAGGCCGACGCCTTGGCCTGCGGTTCCATTCATGCTAAAATACCATGTGTGCCAGCAGCGTGCCATGTGTGCAGCAAAAGGGCCATGCAACACCCCAAGCAGACACGTGTGCCATGTGAGCAACACATGAAGGACGAAGGAGGGTCCAGCATGGTCCAGCAGAATCAATGAGATTCGGAACCAGAGTACACGAATGTACACAAGTCACAGAGTCACACTCCCGATGAACCAACCCTGATTGTCCTGAAGGTAGCGCCTCCGTTGGGCCTGGAAAAAATGGATCAACGACTCAAATTTTTCTTTGTCATCAGTCATCGTCAGTCATCATCAGTCCAAGTCCTTGAAACATATTGAAACTGATTGATCAATGAACCGAACAAGAACTTTGAACTTGAACTCTTCGACCAACAGATCATCCAACCAGTGAACCAATGGACGTCCTGCAAGCCTAGCACACACACCCACACCCACACACGCACGCACGGACGCATGTCCGTATCAGGAATTTTCACCGGCAGAGTAGCACTGAACGCAGGACCTTTTGCTGTAAGTGTTCGAAGTGCAGTGAGCACGGCGAAGTTGAGTCTCAGCCAAACGGAAGACCAAGAACGGCATTCACTGAAGCTGGTGTGGAAGATGGGGCACTCATCCTTGGTATTAGAAGGTCAATGAAGAAAGATGTTGAGGTCGTGCATGAGTACATTTCGTCGTGTGTTTATGTCGTTCTACCTTGCAAGCGAGGGCACCCCACTCTTGAGATTCATGGCGCATCCACGCGAGGAGGAAGTGGATTTTTAGGATTTGTGGGGTAGTGACACGGCAAAGACGGCCCGTTGGCGCCCATCAAGCAATTAAAGACACAGCGAATCGAAGCGCATCGGTTTCCGCAAATGGGTGTATACACACCCAAAGATGTAGCTGCTCCAGAGTCATGTGGTCTTTTCTTTGCTCCGTGTGGTACTCAGTAAGTTCTGTTGCCGCGTGTGTGGAGGCTACGTTGTTGCTTTGAAGAATCGTTGGCTTTGATGTGAGTGTCGAGCGTGCACTCATTTCAATCGACTGAGTCGGAATTGCATTTGACTGCTGTGGCCAGTGAGTTTGTCATGCGCTGAGTAGGATGAAATCCATCCCCTCTTCCAAGTGTAAACAGTTCCCTCCTTCATCTGAAGCCCCCGACGTTGTATAAGCTTTCTTCTGCGGGCATATGTAGACCAGGAATATCTGACTCTGTTTTTTTTTTTAATGTTTTTCCTACTTTCCATTGCATGTATAGGTGATGTGAGCACTTGTACCTGTATTTCTGGCCTTGTCATGCCACTGCAATGCTTGCTACCGACCATGCTGGTGTAGAGTGGGTGCAGCAGAGGTGCAGTCTTGGAAGCTGAAGCTTCCTTACCACATCGTGAAACTACACGTCAACTCAGACTCCTACAGATAGACTAGATACGGATAGAAACACAGAGTTGCACGTTTCATACATATATATATATATACACATACATGTTTATTACTTTGTACCCTATGAGGATACGGACCCATACTAAATCCATACGGTATGAGAGTGCCATGTCCAACCCAAGTAGAGTACCTAGTGTACGTCCACATCGACAATTTGTGTATATAGTCTTTCCAAACTGGTCATGCACAGATGAGGTGAGACAGAAATCAGCCAAATCTCCTCGGAATCGGAGGACTGTGCCAGAAATCAGCAGGCATGGAGTACCTTCGTGTCATTCGCCATTTTGGTCGGCCTGAGCCCAGAGAAGATGTTGAGTGTCGGACCAGAAAAAAGCCGGAATTCTGGCGTTTGATAGCTTCCACCCAGGTCTGGCAGAGAGATTGAAGAGTCTCGGCATCGTGGAGTATGGGCCTCGGAGTCGATTTGTTGTTCTTCTTCTCTTCAACTGAGCAGCCTGGAGGTGGGTGTCGTCGGTGGTCACGCCCGGGAACCAACTTCTGGGACCCAGACACAGAGTGCATCCTGTTGTGTTATGGTTCGGTTTGTTTTGTTGGTTTGGTTTGGTTTGGT